CAGGGAGCCCGATGCGGGACTCGATCCAGGGACTCCAGGATCATGACCTGAGCCGAAGGCAGTCGCTTAACCAACTGAGCCACCCAGGCGCCCTCTGCCCTCTCTTTCTACTAGGTGTGGCCAAGTGACTAAGACTTGTCAACAGAGAGTAAGTACAAGTGCCATGTGGCTGCTATTAATGAGCCTTTACCCCCTTTTATGTCATGGTTCCCTCCATGCTACGGCAAGAACGTGGCCCAGACAGCTGCCATCTCGTACCAGGAACCCCGGGGCTGTGCCCTCCAGCAGTGAGGAGAGCAGGCCTGAGTCCCTGAGGAGTCTGTGAGCGGAGTCACTGAAGCTGCCCCACCCTGTCTACCTCAGGCATGCAGACGGAAGAAAAATAAACTTCTGTCTTATTAAAGCCATTAAGAAAATCTCCATACACGGGCTGCATCCCAGATCATTCTGGAGTCAGAACTTCTGGGGGTGGGGCTCTGTCCACAGCCTCTTGCTGGGGTTTGGAGGTCTAAGGAGTTACGGCTGGCGAGTGAAAGTCTGTGAAGCCTGGGAGGCCTGGGTTCTTGATGCACCTTGCTGTGTGACCTTGGGCAAGTCAGTCCCCCTCTCTGGGTCTCTGTGTCCATGAGGCTGTTGCATGGATAGTCAGCCCCAGGTGTTTGAGGTCGAAGAGGAGGCCACAGCTGAGGGAGGGCGCCCCAGGCTCAGTGCATCTCCTTCCTGGGGCTCGGCTCCCCCCACACCCTGTTTGTGTCCATGGCAACCAAACAGTGCCACACCCACACCCCAGGCCCGGCCCCCACCTATGAGGAACATTCCAGACACCTCAGCCTGGCCAGCTTCCAACTTTCCAAGAAAAAAGCAGCAGCTCTGGGCAAGGCCCCGGACAGCCAGAGACCTCAGTGTTCATCTTGCCCCTTCTCTGGGCCCGGGCTCCTGCCTCAACGACAGCCCCTTGAAGACCCAGGCTGTGCAGGTGACCCTAAGTGACAGCCAGTCATAAACCAGCATTAAGTCAGACAACAGAGGCGAGGCGCCCAGCCCAGAGCCTGGCTCAGAGAGCCCCTCATAAAAGAGTGAGATTTTCATGATTTATCTAAATGTTTTTTCTTCACATATTTCCGTACGGGATTTTACTTTTTAAGGCTGCTGGACCTGGGAGACTGATTCCGGTATCAGATAGAATCATGGCCAGGGCCCACTTCTGCAGCATAAACATGGCCAGACTGGGCCTTGCCGAGCTTGTCCTGTTGTTGCCCCTGCATTCAGGAAGTGCTCAATAATTGCTGAATGAATGTACTCGCCTGACAAGCCTGGGTGCGCCGGGATCTTCCTCTTGACCTGGGGGAGGGTGTCTGCCAGGACCTGGACATAGCCCTGGAGGCCAACCCCAGGGCAGTACGAGGCCCTGCCCAAAGCGACCAATGGCGGAAAACCGGATCCCCAAAACCAGGAGCACCGGCGGCCACCTGCGTCGCACCCGCTGGAGGTGGGCCTGGCCTTGCTTCTACCACTGGCCATGCTCAGCTCCCTGTTGTGGCAACATTGCTGGCAGGGTGGATAGGAGTGTCTTCCCTGAGAGGCTCCCTGGAATGCCCTAGCTGTGGGCCTCCCGTGCCAGGGCAGGGCAGGGCAGGGCAGGGCTTGGCCGCCAGGCAGGACAGCTGAGGTACTGACCCCTCCTCAGCCCAGGCCAGCAGGCAGGAGCAGTCCTCCTACCTGAGCAGCCACTTGCAGGCAGGGACTGCCTCGGTGCCCACAGGAATCCAGCGCCCAGCACGAATTCCAGGTCCTGGCACACTTTCGTGAATGAATGTCATCTGGCAATGACCAGCCCCGATTGCCAGCTCCCTCCATGCCTCTCCTGATTGCTCCTGGCCTAAGTGCTTTCTCTGCCTCTGACTTCTGAGGCATTACGTGTGCCTCAAGGAAGAACAACCCCAACGATCACTTTCCTATTCTCTAGCCCGGTAGGAACACCTATGGCTGGGAGGCGAGAGACCCAAGTTTGCATTCGGATTCAAACTGGCTGTGTGACGTTAGACAAGTCATACTACCTCTCTGAGCCATGGGTGGCCCCACGGCTCAAATGAGAAAAAACTGGTGGGTCAGGAAAAGTGAGTTCAAGGATAAGATGCTGCTTTTTCCTTTGTGATCTCGGTCACTTGTGTGCTTATCCTCTCTCCCCTACTAGACTATGGCCTTATTCACCCTCAAGATCTGGCTTATGTGTCGCCTCCTCTGAGAACCTTCCTGGATCCTCCTGGGGGGAGGCAGCCACCTCACTGTCTTCATCTTTACTCTTGTATTTCAAATTGCACCCATGAATATACTTCTCTGTATGTTGACATTTCTCTTCTGGGCTGAGAGTTCTCTGAGGCGAGATTATGTCTGCCTCAGTGCCTGAGTCTGGGCCTGGGGCAGATTACACTCCTGGTAACTATTTGTTGAAATCCCTTCCTTGTCCCCCAGCATGCCTGACCCCGGGTCTAAGACCCAGAGGGAGCTCCGTAAACAGTGGCTCAGCCGAATGAACGACAGGCCTCCCTCTGGTAGGACTGAGAGCCCGGCGGCTGCCATGCCCGCCCCCACCTCCAGCCCATACAGGAGACCCCTGCCACCTCCCCTCCCCTCCCTTCCTATCCCCTCGGCCAGCAAGGCCTAGACTTCTGCTATGGTTATGCTCCCAGGAATGGTGTCTTCTTTCCCGGCACCTTTCAAGCTCTGAGGTTTCCGTGTAGTTGGGGCATTAAATCCTCACCACATGCAGGCTGGGCAGGAGGCCTTCAACCCGTTTTACAGAACGGGAAACCGGAAGCAGGACCAGAGAGGCTGAGGCGTGCGTTAGTAGAGAGAGCTAGGTCTGGACACAGGGCTCCCACTCCAGGTCTGAGGTCCTCACTGGGGGCCCCCCGCCCTCCCCACCTCCCGTCCTGCTCCTCGGCCCCCTGCCCTGCCTCCCACCATCATCTTCCAACGCCCAGCTCAGAGCAGCTGCCTTCTGCCCCCAGAATCGGATTTTTACAAGTGCTGGCTCTCCAGTGGCCCCGTCTTCCTGCCCCAGGCTGGCGGGGAGGAGGCTAAGAATAACTCAGCCGAGCCTCGCAGCAGCTGCTGCTCTCTCTGGGGGGTGGGCAGAGCTCAGGGTCTGTGTGGTTGCAGCTTTTCTAAGGCAGCGAGAACTTCTGGGGGAGGAAGCAGGCTCGGAGAAGGGGACGGGCTGGGCTGCAAAGAACTCGCACTCATTTAACCCTGGAGGCTCAGGGCCCGGAGGCAGGGTGGGGACCCCTTCTCTCCTGCCCCAGCGGCTTACCAGGTGACCTGGGGCGGAGGTGAAGCCTGGACAGTACAGGTCAGCAGCACTGTGGTGTGCTCCCAGACGGCGTGGGAGCGCAGTGGGATCCAGAACCAGGGCCCCCGGCCGGAACACAGCTCCCTCAGCTCCTTGGCCTCCTGAAACTTCTCCTCCATCTGGAGGTGGGAGGGGGTCTGTGACTCCCATGAGCCAGGGCAATCACGTCTCCCCATCTTTGCTGTCAGCGTCCCCCCTGACCCTCAGGCTCTGGAGTCAGACCCCCATGGGCTGGAGCCCCCCCCTTCCCCTAACTGAGCGGCAAGGTGGCACAGAGGGCAGGACATGGGCTTTGGAGCAACTGGCTCAGGGGTCAAGGCCAGATTCTGCCACTTCCTACCTGTGAGACCGTAGGCAAGCCCTCAGTTTCCTTATCTGTAAAATGGGGATGATAATTCTATTCCCCCACCTTCCTCTGGTGAGGGGCTTGTGGTGAGGATTAAATGAGTTAGTACGTGAAGAATCATGGGCACTGAGAAAGCCCACGTGAGTGTTAGCTATGCTCTCCTGCCCCGGGGAGGGGGGCACGGAGGGCGGCTTCAGACCCCTGACGTTTGTCAGGAATAGCGTTTCCTGAGGCTCTTCTGGGAAGGTCATTTCACAAGCCCCGTCTGGTCTAATCCCCACCTCAGCCCCGAGAGTCGGTACACCACACACATGTGTTTTGCGGGTGACAAAACCGAGGCTCAGGAAGGGTAAGCTGCTTGCCCAAGGTCACACAGCAGGAGGGCGGGGACGCCGGCAGGGGGACCCTATCCCAGACCAGGGCCTGGACTCTGGCTGGGATGTCCGGCCGCCTCTTGAGGAGACGGCAGCTGAGGTGGGCGGCCCGTGACGGGTGGCAGGTCCCCAGACGCCCTCACCCGCCGCCTCAGCGCCTTCCGGTCGCGTCTCTGGCGCAGTAGCCACTGGGTCCGCAGGAAGGCGATCTCGGTCCTCTCGAAGTCGTTGCCGAAGCCCACTCGCTTCTGCCCCCGCTCCTCCAGCTCCACGGCGGAGGTCTGGCGCCTCAGCTGGGACTCCCTGCGCGGCAGAGGGGGTCGTGGGGGCGCCCCAGCCGGGGCCGCCCGCCCCCCCCACCCGCATTGCCCGCTGCACTTTAAGGTTCTTGAGGACCAGAGCAGCTTTTAAGCCTCTCTTGCCTCCAAAATACCCGAATGGGCCCTGCTTACAGTAGGCGCATAATAAGTACTATGGATATAGTTCCCAAGGCCCTTTCACAAAGTCTTTGTCCGTCTTGTCTTCATGACGACCAAGTGGACAGGAATAGTCCCCCTATTTTACAGGGCAGGGACTTGCTTCAAACTGGCCAGGACCCGGCCTTCTAACCCAGGACGCGGGCTCCCCCTGCTCTCCCGCGAAGCCCCTCGGCGAAGGGTGGACCCCCCACCCTCTCCCTTGGGGATGGTCCCTCACTACTGCCTGGGGACCCAGCCAGAGAGTGGTCTGGGCCCTTGTGCTAGATGTGTAACTTTGGGCAGATTCTGTAAGTCCAGTGTGGGAGCCTAGTAGAGGCAAGGGACTGGACAGGATGGCCCTTTCTCAGCCCAGTGGTCTCTGAAAAGGTCACCTGACTTACCAAGACGTCTCGGAGGAGGCCGTCAGGGCCAGGGCTGCTGCGAGGGCGTAGTCTGCGGCGCTGAACTGATAGTCTTGCTCGCTGCCCCAGGAAAAGGGAGTTAATGGCTCGTGCAGGATTGCCTGGGGATCTGGCCCCAGCGTCCCTGAGCTTAAGGCAACATCTACCTACCTGTCTTAGGACACTAGGGGCAGGGCTGTGCCTCCCCCCTCAGACTGGGATCTCCACAAAGCAGGGCTGTGCCTCCGCCCTCAGACCGGGTTCTCCAGAAAGAAGGGTCTCCAGAGGACAGTGCTGTACTTCTTACCTCAGACTGGCTTATCCAGAAAGCAGGCTATGCCTCCCCCCTCAGACTGGGGACCCCTAGGGGGTAGGGCAGTGGCCGGGGTGGGGTCCCTGATGATCCCACCTGCTGCGGAAGGTCCGCCTCCGCACTGAGGACCCCATGTGCAGGCTGTGCTGCCGCTCCTCCTTGTGCTCCTCCTCCTGGCGGTGTTCCAGCCGGTGAACCTCCATGGCCTGGGGGGGTCGGGGCTCCCCCACATTTCCAGGGCTGTGGGGCAGAGTCATGGCTGCGAGAGCAACAACCTGCCAAGCCGAGGTGCATGGTCATTCTACCAGGCATCTGGCCACCCCTTCTCCATGTGGTCCTCTCGGCATCCCTGGGAGGCTTGTGGGGTGCGGGTTCTCTCTCCAGGGAGCAGACGGGAGCATGGAGGCCGGGGACAGCAGGGACCTGGCCAACGGGACAGAGGCAGGCTTCGCCCTCTGAGCCTGGCTAATGCACCACTCCTTGCACCCTGCAGCTGCGTGAGCGCAGCCCCACATCGGGAGCAGCTCTGCCCTCACCTTGCCCGTCACCTGGGCAAAGCCCTCCCTTCTCTGGGCCTTCGCTTCTCAGGTGATGAGCGATCCAACACTGTGGTGTCCAAGGGCTTTCTGACTCAAATGGGCAGATGTCCTCCCTCCTCCTGCGCATGCCCACCCAGCCCTACCTCTGAGCTTTTGCCTGCACTGGTTGCTATTCTGAGGGAAACCTTTCCCTCCTTCTGGCCTGCTTAGCCCCACTCAGGCTCCACAGCCCAAGCAGAGACTGCCTCAGTTAGCGCAACGGTGGGGCGCGGAGACTCTGGGCGTGGTCCCGCTTCTCATTCCAGCTTATAAGTGTGTGCCCTTGGGCGAGACTCTGTGACTTAGTTTCCTCACCTGTAAAATGGGTCTACTGGCTTTCTGGGGTGGTTGTCAAGGTTGGAAGAGTGCTTGGAGCACAGGAAGTGCCGTGGAAGTATTAGACATTAGCATGGTTTTTCTAAGTAACCCTGCCGAAAAACTACCAGCCGCCTAGAATTTTCCCTCCTTTAATCCTTTTTATGCTTTTCTGTGTGCACTCCGAAGTCTAGCTCTGATTCAGAAAACACCTCCTCCTATGTAATTATTTCGTATTTGGACATCTTCCCTCTCCAACAAGACTATAAGTGAATTAAAAGTAACAACAGTTAGGGGCGCCTGGGTGGCTCAGATGGTTAAGCGTCTGCCTTCGGCTCAGGTCTTGATCCCAGGGTCCTTGGATCGAGTCCCGCGTCGGGCTCCCTGCTCCTTGGGAGCCTGTTTCTCCCTCTGCTTCTCTCTCTCTCTCTCTCTCTCTCTGTCTCTCGTGAATAAATAAATAAAATCTTTAAAAAAAAAAAAAAGTAACAACAGTGAGTGTTTACTGTGTGCCAGCCCATTATCATCCTGTTTTACAGATGAGGAGGGAACGTGCTTGCCCAAGGTCACCCAGCTGGTTGGGGGTGGGACCATGAGTGGTCCCCGACTCTGAGCTCTCTTGACATCTATGACACATGTCTACTCAAGGCCAGGCCTTGGCTATGGCTGGGCACACAGTGGGCCTTTCTTCTCATAAGGGGATCACAACGGAGTGATCCCCCTTTGTATTCCCGAGGCTCAGGTCTGGGCCATAGGTGGTGCCCAGTCAGGGTTGGATTCAGTTGGTGTGGAGGAGCCGCAGGGATCGGGGAGTGAATCCCTGGATATGGAGAGGCGGGGAGAGTGGGAGGCCCGGGATCGAGCTGGTTTGGGCTCTCGCACGAAGTTCTTTCCCTGATCTGGGCCTTGGTGTCCCCACTGGTCTCTGAGGGCCCCTCTGATGCCGAGGCTTCAGGACGCTTGGTGGAATCCCTGGAGTGGCTTCCACACTTCCTTCCGGTGGGAGTTCTGGGGGGCAGGCCTCTGACCCGGGAGGGTCCTTGCCGGGCTTAGACCTGAGGTCATCCCTGGCCCCAGCCTCCCTGAAGGTCCTCCTGGCAGCGGCGGAACGTGTGTGTGTCGTCTTCTGACCTGGGTGTGCACACGGCCCCTGAAGGACCGCTTCTCTAAGTCCATGCCATGGCAGATGGGCCCGCTGACCTCATCAGAGCACCTTGGCCTGGTGGGCCTGTTCTGGGGTGTCAGGGGGCTCAGGCTCCTGAGGGGCAATCTCAGTGGGCATTTACCCCTTCTAGTTCCTGAAAGCGTGTTCCCTTTCAGTGATCTGGATTACTGCAGAGTGTTAGCCGGGACCAAAGGCTGCCCCCAAACCTCCTTGGCCTCCTCCAGATGACCTGAGCCAAACATTAACAGAGCAGTTACGCTTTGGGCTTCCCATCAGGCCCCTCCTGAGGAACAGGGTCTGCTTGCACCCAGAGAATGACTGGCCCATGCTCATTCTGTGCCTCCTTCCTCACAGCCCCAGAGGACAGCTCTGGGTACCAACCTAGGTGGGGAGGCCCCCTCCCCCAGCTCTCCTGGGACACTGTGGCCCTGGCCCCAGCAGCTGAGGAACGTTCCCTGGCGTCAGCTGCTGGCTTGCTTCCCCGGATGCTCTGTTCCTGATTAGCACCGTGGCGGGGTGTGTGTGCGTGTGCGTGTGTGTGTGTGTGTGTGACTGGCACCCATCCCTGACCTCTTGGGCCTCCCGCAACCAGACCCCCCCAGCTTTAGCAGATGAGCCAGCAAGTCTTTTTAAAGCACTGACTGAGGCTCAGGATTAAGCAGCAATGGGAGTGCAGCACCGCGTGTGTCCGGTGGGGAGGGGTCGGCGGGGTGTGGGCCTGCCCCCCTGCCCTCTGCCGGGGGTACAAGGCCTGGGCCGTGGGTCGCACGGCATGGCCTCCCCTTTTCTCCCGAGCCCCGGTCTGCTTTCCCACCAGGCCCTCTGACGGGCACCCCCAGAGACCAGAGACCCCCAGAGACCAGGGGCCGGGAGGCCTCGCCCCTTCCTCAGGAGGGAAAGAGAAGGGCACAGCGGCTGAGTGACTGGCAGAGCCCGAGGACGGAAAGCTGGGTCCCAGGGGCCGGCCGTGCTCCACCAGCTTCTGAGTCCAGAGTTCTGACCCTGCCACAGAGCGGCTGAGGCCGCCCCTTCCCTCTCCGGGCCTCAGTTTCCTGCCAGTGAGCCCGGGCTGGACGCGTGCCCTCCTGGCCCTGAGCTTCAGGCCTTGAGGGCTTCCTCCGTTTCCCTGGCTGCCCGGTGGGCCAACAGGCTCAGCCAGCGCTGCTCTCGCTCTGCCGGGCCTGCCAGTTCACCCCGGGCCCTTCCACTTTGCAGGCGTCCCCGACCGTCTCTCAAGCAGCTTTCACATCCCAGAGGGCTCGGCACAGATGACCGAGGGCCACACAGAACAGTGAGGGGGGCAAGGGTCGCCAGAGTGCCCTCCCATTGTCACTTGGGGTGCTACCTAGGTACGTGTGTACTTTCTCTTTCCAAATCCTCCAGGCTCCTTCCCCAACACACACACACACACACCCCACTTCGTAATGGAAAGCTGAGGGTCTCACTATCTGAAGGTGTCCCTCCCCACCCCGATCCCTGGAGGTGACTCACAGAAACAGCTGTACCCACTTAGGCGTCTCTGGGGAGAAGATCCTAGAGGATGAGAGGGACTTTGGCTTCTTCTTGCCCTGGGCTCAGCAGGGACTGGGAGAAGAATGTGATCCTGGAGCTTGCATGGGCCTTAAATATAGCAGCGCTGAGACAGTTGATGACAATGGATGGGAACTATGGGGAAGGGGGGGCAGAGAGGAGGGGCTGTCCTGTCAGGCCAGCCTCGCTCAGGCTCAGGCGGCAGCAACAGGTGGAGCCGTCCCCACCCCCACCCCAGCCTCTGCACACGGCTCCTTCCCTCAGGGTGAGCCCTTCTGCCCAATTCTAGACCCCACCCCCCCACCCCCAACTGAAGTAGAAAGGTGACAGCTCAGGCCTGGTTGGAGGGAAAGCAGATACGGGGTGGTTTTCCCTGCTACTGGGGTTCTGACTGGCACCTTGGGGCAGACACCCAGAGTCTCTGATCTGATCCCCCTGTGAACCGTGGAACTGCGAGGCTGGACGCTCTTCATGAAGACAGTGGAAGGAATGTGACCTAAAACGAGTGTTTGGTGCTTGTCCCATATCACTGGCGAAAATGGAAGCAGCTTGCTTCTCATGCCAGGCCCTGTGTATGTATGGGGCGTGGCCTGGGCAGGAGGGGGGGGCTACCTCTTCCTTCACTGGCGGCATTTCTCGGGGTTCCTGTGTGGCCGCTCCGTCTTCCCAGCCTTTGCCACAGCCCCTCCTGTACCTCAGTTTTTCCCCCCACGTTCATTCACACCCACCCTTTGCAGGCAGAAGGGAATAACACCCATGGTGTGGAGGAAGTTTTAATTTAGGTGGGGAGACAGGCAGTTACCGCAGGGGGCGGGGGGAATGCCATCAGGAAGGTACACCTGAGCCAGGTCTCAGGGGTTGAGCAGGTTTGAGGAAAGGGGGTGCAAGCTCTGGTCCAGAGAGCACAGCTCCCCTCCCTCGCCTCCTCCTGGGGTCTCAGGGGGGCCAGCAACACCAGGCCTGTCACTCTTCCTAGCATCTCAGGGCCTACTCTCAAGAAAGAGAGAGAAAGTGGGAGGAAGGGGGAGGGGGAGAGGGAGAATGCAAATGAGCTCTTCAGCTAAAATCTTAGTCTCCTGCCCTATTTGAAACCCCCTTTTAAGCTTTCCTGCTTGTCCCCCTTCCTCCCTGGCGGCAGTGTTAAAAGCATCTTTTGGGGGAGAACATTTGGTGTCTCTCTTCCATCTTGTATCGAGCCAACCTCAGAAGGGCTTTCCAAGACCCACATGTATACATTCTCCGTGAGATGTGAGTGTGAATTTGTACATACAGCAGGGTGGTGTGGGCTTCCAAACCAGCAGGAGATAGACACTTAAACTGGTCCTGTAACCCCATTCAAGGCAGCCTGGTGGAGGGGCCACCACTTACTAGCTGTAGGACCTTGGGTAAGTCACGTCACCATTCCACCTCTGTTATCTGTACAGTGGGCTCAACGATGCTGGCCTTGCAGTGAGACTGAGAAGATTCGATTAGGGAATGTGAAGCCTGTGCAGAATGCCTGGCTACCCGCAGACACCTGCTAGACGGGAACTCCACTGATAACTCGGCAGCACTAGAAATGCTGAGAGCCTACCCTCCCTCTGTGTGTGGGATTCCCATTCACCCCAGGGATGCCCTCACTCCTCACTGGGGCATCGCCTCGGGGAGGTCTGGATGTGCCTTAAAGTGCACACAGCCGACTCCGCAGGTCATGAGGCTGAGCAGAGGTGAGACCTGGAATTACACAAACCTCGGCTTAAATCTCAACCTCTGGCCCCTGCTCTCACTAATGGAGGGACCCTGGCCTCCTCTCTGGGCTAATTCAGTTTCTTTACTGGTGAGTTGGAGGTAAGTTCTGAAACAACAGGAAGCTCGCCTGCCTGTCTTGTCCACTGTATCGCTAGCCCCGAGAACTGTGCCTGGCATACGACCAGCCCCTTGATATATGCTTGTTGAAGAATGAATGAATGAATGAATCAATCAATCAATCAATACCTATCCTGCAGAGTGGTTGCGAGATTCAAATGAGGTTAAAATGTATAAATTGCCTGGTACAGTACCTGGCTCATCATGGCTAATACCCTCCATATTTCCTTCTTTTTCTCCTTTCTTCTCTTCTTCTCCCTTTTATTGCCTTCCCTGGATGTATGAACATTAAGGACAGTTGTTTAAATTCACGTACCCAACACCCTGAACTTCCACGCTACTTGTTCGGGCAGCAGCTGAATTGTGTTTGGCCAATGGGCTTCACCTGGTGGCCAAGGGGAGCGCTGTCTGGCCCAGTGCTTTCTCCCAACACCTCCTTTCTCCCTGCTTCTCTCCCCTCCCTCCCGCTGTCCCTCTCCCCGCTCAGTTAATTCCGCTGACTGTTCTTCTCAGACTTACAGGTCAAAATGTGTCTTCCTTATCCACTTCCTCCTGAGAGTGGGAAAGGAAAATGGGCTTGAGCAGCCCAGGGGCTGAGTGTGGGGGCTAGGCTCTCAGGACTATGACCCTCCAGCCACAGCACCCGAGGCCATTCCTGCCCCCGCTGATAGTTTCTGTCTCACTTTCTGGAATGGAGGGTGGGGACAGCAACGGGGCACCAGCCTTGACAGTGACACGTGGTCCTAGCCTCCTTGTTCAGGCTGACGCTCAGACCTGGGAGGGGCACAGAGGGATCCAGCCTCTGGGACCCCGCAGGAGCTCCAGTCCCATGGGCTCTAACCTCTGGGTGGGAACTCAGGCAACCCCTGTATGTTCCTTGGACCTGGGAGGTGGGAGGCCAGAGGTCTGCGGACTTCGCAGGTGGAAATACCACCTGAGTAGCCTTGCCCCACACCCCCATCCAGGGGCTGGAATAAGGGTGACTCCTGGGAGGTTGATTTGAAGCTATGCGCAGGGAAACTGTTGGTATGAGGACCTTGTTCTTTCCACCTGCCTGAGAGGCAGCCCCAAAGGTGTTTATTAGATATACAGATTCCCCAGGAGCCGCGGATGTAGCAAGCCTTGACGGGGCTGGGGAAGCTGCGTTGTTAATAAGTTCCCAGGGGATTCTCACGATGAGGCAAGTTTAGGAAACCAACTTGGGCAAGTAACCTCTCTGAGCCACATTTTCCTTCCTTGCAAAATGTCAATAATACAAAGTATCATGGCAGTTTACCAGGAGGATGAGTGGTCAAGTAAGTAAACCGCCAAGCGACATGGCTGAGCTCCTCCTTATTGCTGCTCATATGGCTCCCTGCCCCCACACCTGTTTGTTTACTCCAGGGCTGGGCTCTGCTGCGAAGACTCCTTGGCTGGGTGAGGTCGGCAGGCTGTGCAGATTCCTGGTAATGACGTCAGGGCCTAGGACACTCAGGGAGGCCAATGCCTCAGCCCAGCTCCAGGGGGCCTCAGACCCTTTGCCTTCTAGCTGCTTCCAGCCCTATGTGCGGGCCTGGGCTGCCTGCTTGGGAGGCCGGAGACCTGGGGCCTGCCCCTCAGCGGGGCCCGGGCAACCTGTGGAGGTTCACAGGGCTCAGAGCCATTCCTCTCTCTCCTCAGGCACTCAGACTCCACCCTCGGAGGGTCATGGAGTAGTTGGGACATCTGTCTGTCACCCCGAGGAGCTTAGAGAGCTTCACAGCCCTTTTATGGCCTTAAAAAAACATATCTCTGTGACTCCCTGTCCCACTTACCTGGTGAGAACAGTCCGGCTGTTAAGTTGTTTCTCATTATTGAACAAGGGGAAGATAGTCAACCTTTGGCCAAGTTCACCCCAAGTGACAGGAAGCAGACTTGTTTGCAGTTGGGGGGAGGGGAGTAATCATGGGGGCCACTTAGTGGCTGCTGAGAGAGCGGGCCGAGGAGGTCAGGAGGGTGGCCCACCCCTCTGTTATGGAGAGATTGGGTCTGGACCAGTGACCCTGAAGAGATGTTAACTATTAATGACAAACAGATAAGAACACCACCAGCTGGTGCTGTGTTGTGGGGGTGGGGGGGAAGAGGAGGGAGACACATCTGGGTGCAGAGAACGGAGGACATTGTATACTCGGGAAGGTCATGCTGAGGCAAGACTTTGATCCTGCTTCTCAGAAATGTTCAGAACAGGCTTTGGGACAACAGGGTGATGACAGGACCTGGCCCCTTAAGGACCCCATCGGGGGCCCCCTTCCTTACGCCCCCTCCGTCTCATCTCTGAGAATCCACACCAGTGTGGGAAGCTCCTCCTCATGATGAGGACAGAGATGCTGGGTTTGAGCTCCAGCCGTGTCCCGGCTTCAGTGGGGGGCCCCGAGCTGGGTGCCTTCTCCTCTCTGGACCTTGGTTATCTCATCCTAGGGTCACCTGAGAGGCGAATGATACAAAGGGCGGGCCAGCACGCTACAAGCACGAGCAAGGAGCCATTTCCTTATGGAGCAGCGGCCCCAGGGGCAGAAGGGCAAGCGAGTGAGCACCAAGCACCAAGCACTGTGAGCACCGAGCACTGAGCTCCTCACTGGTTCTGCTGAGGTGTGGGGGAGGAGACCTTCTGGGAATGCCACCGCACTCCCAAACAACTTCCCTCTGCAACCTCAGGGACAAGGCTCCATTTGTCTTTGGACCCTGTTTCCAGAAGGCCCTGCCATCCCTCCACCTCCCCCAGGTAGTCCAGCCCCCCTGGCCTGGCCTAGAGCAATTCTGAGAAAATCAGGATAATTCGAGCCCATGAGAAAACGCCCCATGTGAAGCCACCCTGAACTGGGGGAGTGGGTCACTCACTGTGCAGCCCGATTACAAAAAAATCACAACAGGATGTAGCTACCATTGACTGGGCACTGCCCATGTGCCAGGCACTACTAAGTACTTTATAGATACTATTCATGTCATCCTCACCACAACCCCGTGGAGTCCGTGTTACAATCCCCATTTTACAGATGAAGAAACTGATGTTTTGAGCAGTGGCTCATTTGCTTGACGTCATACAGCTGGTAAGTGGTAAGGCAGAAATTTCAACCCAGATGAGCTGAGCCCAAGGCTGAGTTTTCAAAGTTGTGAAGCGCGTGCTCTTTCTTGTGGGCCACATGGACCCCCGTTCCTTAGGAACCCCGCTCTCAGGAGAGGGTCTGCAGCTTCTGCTGGCAGAAAAGGCTTGTGTGTTCTCCCTCACGGGAGGACCTGCGTTTCACCCGCGGTCAAGCCTCTAGCAGAGGAGAGACGTTGAGATGGTGTGATTTCTGACAGCGGCTTGGGTGGACTTGAGCCCCAGGCCACACCCCTCTCTGGAGTCTTGCCGTCGCGCTACCTCTGACCTTGGCAGAAGTGCAGGTTGTTCTGGTTTGGCCCAGGCTGCTGTAAGGCGTCCTTTCCAGGCTCCATTTCTCAGGATATGGGAACCACAGAGGAGGTAGAGACCTCACTCTCTGTCGAACTAGATCATGAAACTGGCCAGGAGTGGGGTGGAGAACTTTGTGTCCAGCATCTCAGAAGCTGGGGGAGCTGGATTCCGTGAAGTCTCCCTGCATTAACTCCCGGCACTTGACTATCCCCTCCTGCCCCGCAGAGCTCATTTGCACATGACGCACACCCGGAACTCCTCTGGCTGGAGTCCTCATCATGCCGTTTTGCTCCAACCATAGCTCAGCCGTGGCAGGGGCCCCCAGTCCCTCTTTCCTTTGGTTCTTTCAAGGGAACTCCCCTGAGGCGGGGAGTTCTTCACCGCCCCCCCCAGATGTGGGAGCGATGGCCAACGATGTGAGCTTGGGTGGGGATGAGGAGGAAGCCCCAGGCTTGCCCTGTTCTCTGCTCAGGCCTCCCACTGCACGGTCAGGGCCAGGCCTCTGAAGAGAGAATCCAGTTCTGTGGCCTGCTCCAGGTCTGAGGCCTGAGAGGCTGGGCTCAGGGCCTCCATCTCAGACATGGGACCCTCGTCCCTGGGACACACGAGGGACTCCAACAGGCCCCAGGGACTTGGTTCCTGGTCTGTGGGGGAACATGAGAGGGAAGGAGTGTGCAAAGGGAGGGATACCGGGTGGCCCTCGATCTGGACAGAAGAGAGTAGGGGGAGCTGATCCTTTAGGCACGATGGTGTCCCTGGTTCCCCTCTGTGTAGCACACTGGGGTCAGGTACTCTGTCCGTGTGAACTCCCAGATGCTGCTGGAAGAAATTTGCTTCTTGGGGGTCCTCCATATCCAAGGAGGTCACCCCTTGCAGAGAAAGGCCATCTGGGATATAGGTTCCAGCTGGTGCCTTTTTCTGGAGCTGACCTTTAGTCCTGAGGTGTTTGGGACTCGAGAGTGTCACAGGTGGGGAGTCTCTGCCAGAGCCTTCCCCACAGGTCCCATAGGAAGGCCAGCAGTCTGGAGTGGTCTGAGGGGTATAGGAGGAAGGCTGGACCTCAGACATGGCCTGTGCAGTGTAGAATGGAGGTTTAGCTTCGGGGGTTACTTGAGGTGCATAGGAGGGGCGCCTGACTTCGGGGGCAGCCTGGGGTGCGTAGGACAGTGGGGAGAGCGTCTGGTGAGGTGGCACTCCAGAGGGCCGGAGGATGGAGATGTCTGGCTGCCCGAGATAGGCGATCTCAGACAGGCTGTGCAGTGGTGGGGCTTCCGGGGGCTCCCTGGGCCCGGAGACCCTGACTTGGGAGTACTGGACGGGCTGGGCCAGACTGCTGGGGCTGCTCAGGTCAAAGACAGGGATCAGCACGTGCTCCTGGATGAACCTCAGAGGCTGGAAGGTCAGTACTCGCTGGACATTCTGTGCAGGACAGCAACAGTCCACCCGTTAGAGCACGTTCTAAGCTCCCTGAGGGGGCCGTGGATGGTTGGGGTCCTCCATGGGGAGGTGGAGGGGAGGGGGTAGACCACTTAGAGGACTTTTCAAAATGCACATGCCGCACATCCCCTTGGCTTTCCAGAGATTCCTCTAAGTCCTGGGCCTCCCTGAAGGGACAGGGCTCCCAGCCCTTTAGGTGAGAGCCACTTCTAAAGTCTGGGTTATCCCCAGGACAGAGATTTAGCCTGTGGCTTCTCTAGAAGGTAGATAATCCAGGAAGTAGATGACTCAGGTTGGAGGTTGCCTTGGGCTACACTCTCGAGGTGGTGGCCCACATTGCTCCTCACTCACGGACCCTTAAGAGCCCGATGGAGGGGGCCGGGTGTGAAAGGATAGGGGTTATGGGGAAGCTGGGAGAGTTTTATAGGAAATGGTTCATGCGGGCTTTGACATTGAGCTAAATGCCCTCAGACTCCCCTGTCCCTCACACAGTAAACAAGAGCCAGCTCCTAGAGCCCCAGACCGGTCAGATCAGGCCTCTGCAGCAGCAGACCCTGCTACTTTAGCACTGAGCCAGGGCTGGCCGCCATATTGGGGCTGCCAGTGGGACTTGGGAGGTTTTATACAGGGCTTAGAGGACCTGGCAACACTGGCCCGCGTTCTCAGGCGGCAGTACTTGGCTGCCCATATCGACAAGGCGTGAGCCCCAGGGCTCCCCATAGCGCCCACCCCTCCTCGGCCCCTTGCAGAGGCCTGTGGTCTCAGGTCCTATGTTACCTGCCTGGACACGGATGCTTTCAGGTTGCGTGGGTTTCTATTCCAAGCCCACTATTCCGGTCATCTACCCTTCTCCGATACACCCTGCTGGGCCATGTCTTTGTAGACTTTAGGTTGGAGAGGAGAAACGAGGCCTAATTTTCTGCACTGTGTGCTTATCCCTGCCCTTCAGGAAGAGCCAGGGGTCCCTGGGCCCGTATCCCCTGCTGCTTTGGGGTTCTTCACCCCCCCCCACCCCCGGATCTCTCTCTCCTCCCCCAGGTGCAACTGCTCACCAGGGAGTTGGGAGGCGGAGGCGGCTTGGTGACGTATCTGTAGCTCAGGTAGCAGAGCCCGGCGACGAGGAAGCCCATGGAGAACAGGAAGGCGCCTGAGAAGGAGTATGTCCACATCCGATCTGGGGGAGCACAGGGGCCAGAGCAGGGAGACTGAGGCCGGGATCCGGTCTGGGCCCAATCCCGTGTGGATGCTGTGGGCTGGGTGCTTTTCCTCCTTGCCCTCTCGGGCCAGGCTCGGGAAGGCCTCTCCTGCCCCCAGCATGGGCGGGGCTGGGTCAGGAGCACAAGTAGAGGGCCGCACACTAGACGGCTAAATTTCCAGGATTTATAAATCATATTCCTACACTCAGTAACATATGTTGTATGTTCCCGTCCTGACAAATATACTTTTCATCACAGCCTGGAAGGCCAGGTTTGAGTTTTGAATTCTTGGACTCCTTGGGGTCTCATGCTGAAATGTGGAGGGGCAGGGAGAGCCTGCCACGGTCCCCTGGCCCACCGCAGCTCCATCCCTCTCTGCCCACCGTGCACATGCATGTGGACTCCCCGGCCCACAAGGCCAAGTTCATCCATGCCCCTCAACACATAGCTGCCTACTGGCCACCCTTAGGACTGAGGCTCTGCGCATCAACAGAGGATCTCCTCTCTGGAGAAAGGATGCAAGGAACAGATCCGTTAGACTGGACACAGGCTCAGGGCATTTGTACAGGGAATTTCAGGGTCCCAGGTACCCAGAGTGTGGGCTAGAAGGGAGGTCACAGGCTCTAGGGGGACCTGTGCATTTGGACCTACAGACTCTTCTTCGTCGTGTGGGGAAGGCCGTGGCCAGAGCAAGGCCAGAGCAGAGCCTTCTAAACGGGCCTCTCTGGCCCTCCCTGGCAGGGGGCTCTGGGCGGAGGCAGAGGGAGGGAGGTGGCAATGGGAGGGGCCTGCCCCCCTACAAAGGTGACAGGCTGGGTGTTAGGAAGACCTTGCTTGGGATGGAGCCTGTGCGGCACCACCCTTTCTAAAGGGGAAGCAGAAGGACGACTAAGGGCTTTAGTGTGGAGCCTTCTCCCTGTGGTCCCGCACCCTCGGGATGGGCGCAGCCAGTTCTTGGCATGACACACTTCCTGTCACCAGCCCCAGTGGGACTGGGGGCGGGGGGGGGCGGGTTAAGGAGGCCGTAGTTGGGATTTTTGCTAAAACTGGCGATTTGTGTTCTCCAGGGGTTTTGACTCTCCAGGCCACCCTCCTTCTGTTCCCCCAGGTGGCTTCAGCGTGGGGTGTTGATCACCGGCTGCCAGGGACCCTGGCAATTGCTGTGAACCCCGGGAATCTCTGGAGCCTCCACTTCCAGCCCGTGAGGCTTGGGCCTCCCTGGGTCAGCTTCCCACTTCAGTGATGCCCTGTCCCCCGTCACGTGATAGTCCCGTTGCTGCTCCAGGGAGAAGACGGGACCAGAATGCCTACTGGTGGGGGAACACCACCGCTCCTCTGGCGGGGTAGGACGGGGGCTTGGAACATTCCCATGTGCCATTTCACGCATGGGAAGGCAGGAGGAAGTAACGGAAACCACCCTGGACTGTGGGGTGTTAGAGGTCTGCCTCAGCCGCTAGCACGCTGAGAAGCCTTCTCTCTGCTGCACGACCGTCTCTGGGCTACTCCGTACTGAGAACAGTAGCCAGCAGTTATTAAGCTCCTACTGTTTGCCCTGTGTGGTGTGCTTTACCTCTGATATCGCACCAAACAGAGAGGGCCAGAGATGCTCCCTTCTCAGGAATAATGAAGCTGAGTGTCAGAGAGGCTAAGTGCCTTGACCAAGGTCACACAGCTACTCAGTGGGAAATAGGCTTGTCATGTACACCTACAAAGCTCTCCTCACAGGCACTGCACAAAGATGCCTTAGCTTCCTTATCTGTAAAAATTGGAAATGGGGTGAGAGTCCTTTCCAATATCAAGATACTGGGATGTTGCTCTGTGACCCTCCCAGACATCCTGAGAGGTAAAGTGGGAATTCTGGACTCCGGGGATAAGAACAGACCACAGCCTATGGGGTCAAGGGCAGGATCTATCACTCTGAAATGGAAATAAGAGGAATAAATGTGCAATAGAGAGGCCCAGCTGTAAACAAAATTGCAAGGTGCTGGCTTCAAGATCAGATGAACTAACTAGGTTCACCGACCAGCTATGTGGTTACTGGTGAGCTCTTTAGCCTCTCTGAGCCAGAGTTCCTCCTCTGTAAGATGTGGCTGAAGCTACCCAACCTGCAAGGTTGTTATAAAAATTCAATGGGGGGCGCCTGGGTGGCTCAGTCGGTTAAGCGTCTGCCTTTGGCTCAGGTCATGATCCCAGGGTCCTGGGATTGAGCCCCGCATCAGGCTCCCTGCTCAGCGGGGAGCCTGCTTCTCCCTCTCTCTCTGCTGCTCCCCCTGCTTGTGCTCTATCCCTCTCTCTCTCAAATAAATAATAAAATCTTTTAAAAAAATAAATAAAAATTCAATGGGATAATATATGTAGAGCATTTAACCCAGTGCGTAGCAATGGAGTACTTAATAAACGGTAGGAATTGTTATTCATATACTTTATTTTTAAGGATGAGGTGCCTTCTATATGTCAGCAAGAACTAGCCAATAAGAGGTGTGATTATGTAAAAGCAGCTACAGACTTAGGGAAAAAAAAGGTATCACATCATGAGCTAGATCACATAAGGACAAGCCAACAAAAGGATAAGGGTAGAGTGGTCTGCATGTTGTCAGATAGCAGGGGTGTGGGGCGAGGGGGCTAGCAATGGGCGAGATCTGTCTAGCCCACCCAGGGGAGAGGGTCACAAATCATATACAGGCTTCCAGCGTGGTGTCTATAAAGCCGGATTCCTTTTCCAGTTCTGCTCTCGCCAAGTTCTATTCTGGTCTCCCCAGGGGCGCTGTCCCCAGGAAGGGCATGCTGCTCTACCAGGCACTTCTTCCCCTGAAAATTAATGCACTGGGACTCGGCTGGAGAAATCAGTCTCTTGTGGGTTCTTGGGGTGACTGGTGAGTTGAGTTTCTGAACAACACCGAGGACCAGAACCTATGCGATGATTCTACCGAGGTGCAGTTTACCCTCGGGCCCAGCCTCTAGCGGCCACCTTGCCTCTGTTCATCAAAACAGAAATCACCTACTGACATCATTACTCTGAAGCTGATGACTAAGGAGGAGACTCTTTTTTCCAAATCCATCCAACCCACTACCATCACTTTCATCTTCTAAACTTGCAGCTCTGAGCATTACAACATTTCTATCTCTGTGAACATGAACACTAATAAAAATATCATGATGCTTAACATGAGAGTCGAGTTTCAGTGTGCTAGAGAAAGGGAGCATGGGGCACCATCTCCCTGGGCCGCTGACTCAAAATGATTTCTATAATAGCGCCGTGTTGAGAACATGGGCTCCTGAATTCAGCCTAATTCTATCCTTCGCCACCTGCATGCCCTTGTGCAAGTTACTTAACCACCCTGAATCTCGGTTTCCTCAGTAAAACAAAGTGATAATCGCACCTGTCTTGTAGATGGCTCATGAGGATTGTGCTTTGTGGTGCCTGGTCCCTGGTTAGGACTGCAGAAATGCTAGTTTTCAGGGCGCCTGGGTGCCTCTGTCAGTTAAGTGCCTGCCTTAGGCTCGGATCATGATCTCAGGGTCCTGGGATCGAGCCCCACGTCGGGCTCTCTGTTAGGTGGCAAGTCTGCTTCTCCCTCTCCCTCTGTGCTCTCTCTCTCTCTCCCTCTCTCTCAAATAAATAAATAAAATCTTAAAAAAAATAAAAAACCCAAAAAGAAATGCTAGTTCTCATCACTGCTACTATTCTTTCACTTTGGAAGATACTGAGGGAAACTTTTATCTTCTCTGCTTTCCCTTCTGCAGATTATTTCCCAGGATATCTCCCCTGGGTTAATAAAGCGAATTTGCTTTGCTAGGGAACACAGGAAGCTGGCCAGGGAGAGGAAACCCAGCAGGCTGGAGGGGGGCATTAAACGTGTTTAATGATAACCCATCAGCTAACTCAATGATGGATTAACTAAGACGACTTCGGTAACACTAATAATCCTGCAGTTGTGTGAGCACCGCCAAACCTCACCTCGGTTACAGGGAAGAGAGCACAGAGACGAAATTTGAATTCAGGAGTCCCGCCTCCCTCTGGTTTCCGCTGAATTTACCTGGCAGCGTCTTCACTCGGCACACGTAGGGGGCGCTCTCTTTGGACCAGGTTGGAACAAAAATCATGATGGTCCCAAGGAACTCTGTGTCAGGGGTCAGGCCAGTGAACTCGTAGTCTCTCTGCTTCCCTCCAAGGTGCTGAATTTGACAGAGAAGCCAGAGTGACTCCTCTTAGGCACCAGTCGCCACCCGGAGCCCAAGCAAGCCTGTGCACACCTCTGCCTGGGTCGCAACACTCCGTACAATGGTGCCACCAGCTACCCAAACCAAGAACTGGTGGGTCAGTCCGTAATGCTCTGTTCCTCTTCCCCTACCCTCTGCGCCATCACCACCACCATCACCAACATCATCATTATCCCTCCTTCTAGTTTTTTTCCTCCTCCTCCTTCTTTATCCAACATCAAAAACCCTTGACTATCCATCCCTCTCTGGCCTTCCTCATCGCTTCTGCCTTAACTGGGCCTCAACACCTTGAGCATGGACCCTTGCAGTGGCTTCCTTATTGGTCACTTGTCTCTGGTTTTGTCCCTGTCCACCTCCATATTCATCCTGGTGCCCAAGTGATATTTCTAAAAGATCAGTATAATTCCAATGCTCCCCTATTTAAATATTTTTTTTTTAAGATTTTATTTATTTATTTGAGAGACAGAGAGCATGAGA